GAAACCTGACAGATCTAGAGGAGATCTGTGTGGAGGAGTGGGCCAAAATCCCTGTTGCAGTGTGTGCAAACCTGGTCAAGAACTACAGGAAACGTTTGACCTCTGTAATTGCAAACAAAGGTTTTTGTACCAAATATTAACACTGATTTTCTCAGGTGTTCAAATACTTATGCTCAGCAGTGCAAGACAAATAAATTCTTTAAAAATCATATAATGTGATTTCTTGATTTTTTTTTTTTTTATTCTGTCTCTCAGAGTGGGAATGCACCTACAATGTGAATTTCAGACCCCTCCATGATTTCTAAGTGGGAGAACTTGCAAATCGCAGGGTGTTCAAATACTTCTGTTCCTCACTTATAAAGAAGAATGGAAGGACAGGTATGCTTTCATCCTACCTGGTTTTGTGAACGCCAAGCCTGTGTGTCTCATCTGCAATGAGGTAGTTGCCGTTTGCAAAGAATACAACATTAGACGACACCACGAGACAAAACACAAGTTTTCAAGGTGTCTTTTCCACCCCCCCAGAGTGAGGCATGAAAAATTGCAAGGCGCGGAGGCTGTGTGCGCATTCTGGCTCGCGTGCTCTGAGGATTACAGCACACTCAAGAAGCTTGCTTTTTATGTGCTTACTATGTTTCCTTCCACCTACACCTGTGAGGCAACTTTCTCGTCAATGAATGCCATAAAGACGCAGGAGAGAAACCGAGTGATGCATAAAAACTTGCAGAATGCCCTGCACATTAAAATGACATCTCTAACACCAGACATACAGAAAATGGTGAAAGAAGGGAAATACCAGTTTTCCCACTGAGTCTTTCAAATGTTGTAGTTATCGATCCGTTTTTTTTAGTGCTCATATTGGCCGTTCTGTGTTTCTGTCTTTTAGGATCACCGTTGAATCCCACTTCAAAAGTCCTCTTCTGTCACCGCAAGCTGCAGCAGAGTGGAGAGGAAGGGAGGGGTTACAGAGTGACTCACAGTGAACCTTTGAAAGTGTCAAATTGAACTCAAATTAATAGTCATAAAATAACAAAAAAAGGGATTGTTCGTGTGACTCGGACTCGTGCTGTATAAATAAACGTTTCAAAATTCATCCGGCGGGCCGGACGTTGCCGACCCCTGCCCTAGACTGTCATGATTGGAAGGCTCACTATACGAGACAACGTCAGTACATTGTAATCTTATCTGTTAATGCAAATGCAAACAGTTCAGACTTGTGCTGTGTTAAATATGATACATAAATCCTGTTAAGTTTGTCCTAGTAAGAGTGCCGTCATGACTTTTAGGGAAAATTGAGCATGGTGCGCTCCTTCAGACATGAAGCCGACACGTTCAGACGCTATTATATTAATGGAAAGGAGTGCCTGTCTGAAAGAGGCTTTAGAGGCCAAACCATGTAGTGGAAACCAACTTAGATGTTCTGTGATGACATTTTATTAACAAGCTATATGTTAGCTGAATTTACTTCAAATTTCTCACAAATTAACACATTCTCTGCGATCTCATCCTGCACTGCATCCATACCTCTTAGTTTCATTATCTTGTAGGCTGGTATCTGTTTGTATCTCAGCAACCTTTTTGTCCTCGCAGGACGGTGGCTATACCCTTGGCCTCTCTACTTGGGGTGAGAGAGACAGTACGGCTCAAAGCCCCTCACAACCCCACACTGGAGTCCCACTACTGTAATGTTACCAAATACCCCACACAGGTAGATGTTAGTACTCACCTACACACTCTTTAAAAGACAGAGCAACATGCTGTACATGTCAGGAAATTAAATACATGCCTCTTTGTTTTATTCTCAGACTTCAATAGCACGTCTTTGCAAGCAAACTGGTTATTCAGAAAGACAATTGCAGCGATGGTTCAGGAGAAGGAGGAACCAGGACAGACCAAGCCTGCTGAAAAAATTCAGAGAGGCCAGGTAAACAAACAGACACACACACACTCTTTTAAGCATATACGCACAACACTGCTGTAAAGCAATGGAGCTGGTTGAAACAGCTGCCCTCCCCTGTGTTCCTCTGGCTATATAAGCACATTTATTTTTAACATGCACTTATTACAAGGCCACTCTGCTACTACCATGCCAGTAGCCCCTTGCTCCTCACACACACACACACACACACACACAAATCCGGCCATTCACATATTCATTAACACAGGGCCTTGGCAACAAGGGCTCTGTCACCACTGTTAGTTATTTGCCATTGTGAGCAGTATACTGTGGGCAGAGTTAAAATAACAGCATAATCACTTGATAATACAAAGCTAGTGAAGTTAATCTCAGCTGGCAGGATTCACACCGTAGCACAGATGACACTTAAAAATATGTATAGTGCAGACAGACTGTACAGAGAGACTGATCTGTAGGGCTGTTGTAAACAGCAGCAAAAGCATCAATATTACTGACATGCAGGCACATGTGCAGTGAAATGAAGACAGACACGCTTGTTCATGAGTTATTTCATCCTGTTATTGAAATCCACTGTTGTGGTCAGTGTTCTTGTTTGAGAACAAAGACATAAAAGCTTTTCCTGTGACTTAAAGGGCCAGTTATTACTGGAGTTGTTTTGAACTGCAGAAATAGTCACTTTAAAAATAACATTGTTTTGAGTGTGTCCTGTGTATTCAGTCCAAGGAGAGCGTTTCTGGTAGAAAGCAGTTAAAGTTTTTAGATGTGATTTTTCAGTGAATAGAGCTGAAATAAAACGCGTCGATCAATCGGAGGAGATCGGACATGGCTGATTTTCAGCATGATCTGTCAAGCCAATCACGGTGAGATTTCTGATTCTGTGCCGATCACGTTTGGAGGCACAACAGTTCACGTCTTGCATGCGGTGGCTCAGCCCAGAAGTATATTGTGTGCAGCATGTAGTATCTCGCATGAACCTCGAGTGAGACTCGTGATCGTATCGATGCTGCGTGTTCACTCTCACATTGGAAGAGTTTGGTGTACAAACAGCACACAGAGGAGTCTACAGAAACCACCTCCAAATCTCTGGCAAACGGTACACAATGAGGGAATTACTGGCTACACATGAAATACATGTATAAGTACAGTGTATCCAACATGTGGTATAACATAGCAAATACAAACTACACACACTTTAAAAAGAACTGTGTGCTCAGTAGTTTCAGACATTCTTCTGTTTCTATTACCTATTGCAGCTGTTTATATTTGGAGAAGAACAAATATTACACTTCATTTTTAGTTGGAGGGTTTGTAAAAAAAAAAGAGAGGGAGAGAAAACTGGAACGTTGAAATGTTAAACTGTAATACAATGTTTTATTTTTATTACAATAATATTTTTCAGTAAAGAGAAGTTACAAAAATGTCTAAGTATCCTCTCAATTAAAGTTCTTCGAAAGAAAATCGGGTCAGACTTAATTAAAAAAACTGGAATCGAAATCAGCCAAGAAAATTATCTAGCTGAAATGATTAGTTGATCAACAGAAATTCATTTGACAAAATTATTAACTAATTTGGCAACAATTGTAGTAATAAGTCAGTTATATTTGTTTTTTGAGGAAAAAATGTACAAACCCCTGGTTTTAGCTTCTTCCTTCTTTTATTTGTCTTATGTGATAATAAACTGAATGTGCCTGAGTTTTGGGCAAAACAAGTAATTTAAAGAGACTACCTTGGATTTGAGGAAGTTGATTGTTATAGGTATTTCTTCTGTTTTCTGCCATGTAGCAATGTAATTGATAATAAAAAATAATTGTTAGCTATGGCCCACTGAGACAGATACTGTATTCAAATGAAAATACATTTTCTCTAATTAGGTGAACTGACCCTTTAATCAGACAGTGAATCAGGCTGGTGTGTGTGTCCACTGTATGTGTGTTTGAAAAGGAATATTAAACTAGTCTTTGGTGAATCGGATGTCTACATTCTCTTTGTGCAGATGTGTGTGCGACTGTAGGTTTGTCACTATCTGATTGTGGTGTGTTTTTCACTGTGTGAGTCACAGTATTTCTCTTCTGAATCAGTTTATTGTTTGTGTGCACACAACAGGCTCTGTGTCTCTCCTTCTTGTTTCCCCCACTTGTGTATCTCTCTTCTTTCTCTGTATCCATCTTTGTGTTCTTCTGTCTGTCTGGCCCTGCTGCTGGGTTTTCTGTATTAGGTCCTCTCTCACCTGTATGAGTGACAGTAGTGGGAATGATCCCTCATTGCCTCTGTTGCAGGATAATAACAGGGAGGACACTGTCTGACAGCTTTCATTGTGTGTCAGCACGTTTTTTGGCTGTGTTTTTTGTGTCCTGATTGACATTCTTGGCGTAGTTTGGCAGATTTTTCCAGGCTTCTCAGTCAGCCTAGTGATTCTTTCCAACTTGCACCTGTTTGTGATGCATTTATGTGTGTGCTGGTAGAAAATATCTAATGTCTTTTCCCACTGACTGAATAGAAAGTGTATTTGTATGTGTGTGTGTTCTCTTGCAGTTGGAGATTTACCTTTTACCTTCTTGCTTTCATTGCTGGCCTAGTCGCCCTCATCGATGTGAGTACCGCCATGTTAACCTTGACTCATCCTCCTCATCCTCCTCTCCTCACTGTATGCTCACACCCTCATTCGTCACCTGCCTTGCCACAGTATCCAGATGGTTTTTGTTGTTGACATTCGCGCTGTCAGAGGGACAGCATCAACTCATTGCCATGCTGAGGCAGATGATATAAATACACCTGTCAGGCGCTGCTGTCTCATTCACATCTCCCCTGTCCTTCCAGAAACCTTGGCTGTATGACCTGAAGGAGATGTGGAAAGACTTTCCTGTGCTGGTACATCTCTGAGATGGCTAAATACTCTGAATGTGCTAGAGTATCTGTAGGTCTTAAAAAGTCTTAGAAAGGAATATACAGTAGTTCCCTCAAAAAAAAGACCCTAACAGTTTTAAATTTCATCTGCAAAACTACAAGTGAGACTGGATTGTGCATCAGGAAGCTGTTACATCTTGTGGAGATTCATAGGAGACTTGTGGCTTGTTTTCTTTGATAATCAACTAAATATCTTTGGGTTTGAGACTCTTAATCATACTAAACAAGCAATTTTAAGGTGTCAACCTGGGTTCTTTAGAAATGTATTGTGCATTTTATAGACCAAAAAAACACACCTATTAAGATCATGATGTTAAATAGAAGATTCATTAGTAATTTATGTAAATAATAATAATATTACCATCTTTATATGGATTTTGAAATGAAAGTTCTGTTTCCTCTCCCTCAGACTCTCCTGCCATCTCAGTATTGGTACTACATGATTGAGCTGGGTTTCTACAGCTCACTGCTCTTCAGTCTGGCTTCTGATGTCAAACGCAAAGTGAGTGAATTTGAACTGCAATGAAACAGAAGGAAAACTAAATGGGAAACAAATGTATAATTCATATGGGCAATTTTAATTCAATCATTAGGAGTTTCATCCCTTGATGTGATTATTACACCAGGATCAGCTGTATGCAAGAGGAAATCAAACAGTCTGTTCTTCCTGTCTGATTAGTTTGACATCTGGCATGGGTTGTTGGTGGACATTAAACTGTTGTTACATATGTGATTGAATGTTCACGTGATTGTTTGGACTTTGCTCAGCCTGGGTCAGCTAAGCGCAGTGGGGAAAATCTTGTCTAAGAGGCACAGTTTGTCTCTCAAACACAGTATATTAACCTAGAAACCTCTTAAGCAGGATTTACCACCATGCGCATAGTCCCACCTAAAATAATGTGCTGCACAAATGTATATTGTCAACAATTACATTTTCCCGGTATATGTAACATGTCTCCTTTGCTTTAGGACTTTAAGGAGCAGATTGTTCACCATGTAGCAACCATCCTCCTCATCAGCTTCTCCTGGTGCGTAAACTACATCCGTGCTGGAACTCTCATCATGCTGTTGCATGACTCCTCTGATTACCTCCTTGAGGTATGTCTTCAAGATGTCATCGCAATATTTGGTATTCATAGTGTTTTAGCTAGCAAATGTCTCCCTGTAATCACAGCCGATGAGCTACAATCATGGTAGAATGAAACACATTAACTGTACGTGTACTGGTTTCAGAAGTGTAACTGTATTCAGCCTCATGCAAACACAGCACACAAATGGCTGGTATGAATACCAATACATCATATTTCATGCTGTTCAGACTCTTTATGTGCTCTATTCCAGTAGACTTATAATATACTGCCACCTTGTGGAGGACCCTACCCTTGAGGTAGAGGCAGTTCAACTACTACTGTATGTTCTTTATTCAAACAAGTGTGTTTTATTTCCTTCTGTCTCCCTCTGACAGTCAGCTAAGATGTTCAACTATGCTGGGTGGCGAAATGCCTGTAACTACTTATTCATTGTATTTGCTGCATTCTTCATCTTCACTCGTCTGGTCATTTTCCCCTTCTGGTACATGCACACATTTTAAACTGTTGTTTTAATGTTTTATTGTACCCATAATTACATTGTGCTTAATCCTTACTTTGCCTGTTGCAGGATTATTTACTGTACGTGGGTATACCCAGTGACCATCTATGAACCATTCTTTGGCTACTACTTCTTCAATGGACTTTTGATGATTCTGCAGTGTTTACATATCTTCTGGGCTGTCTTCATCATACGCATAGCGATACGCTTCCTCACAGACAGTGTAAGTAAATATCAAGAAACCTAGATGCAAAGTTCAAGATTGTGTTCATTCATCTATAAAATCGGGGAAATTTCAACCCTTGCATCTTTATCATCCAGTGCTGATGAAAAGACAGGTAAACAGTAAATAACTAACCACAAGATTTAAAAATTACTAGAAAATGTTTTTTAGAATAAAATGCATGTGTGCTTCACTTTAGTTTAATTCAGCTCAAATCAAGGTCCCTCAAGGGGAAATTTGAGTTAAGCGAAATTGCATACGAAAGTACACACAGACAATTCATTCACACACATTGAAACAGTTTAAAAATACAAATATGACAATATTTGAAAGAGCTGAAGTAGAGTTGGTACTTGGTAATGAAAACTGGAGACACTGCTACTGAAAATTTGCAGTTGAAATAGTTAACTACAAGTTAGGATCAGAAAAGAAGATGTTTAAGTGTAGCCACTGAATGAAGTTGAGGTATCAGTCAGAAGCACTGACATGCTTTGAAAAGTGTAGGAGACAAATTTAACTGGAAACACGAAAAGGTAATTTCTGAAAAAATTATGTTGGAAGAGCTGATACACTGCCAAAAACACACTAATTGCTGAGAGGTTTGTTTATTTTAGTGCATTTAAAGATATACGAGTGGACCCAAAAAATAAAGTTGACTGAAAGAAAATTGCAAAAGAAAAAGAAAACCAGAGCTCCAGTACTATTTGTTCTTCTTGATTAATGGCAATTTCTCTACAGCATCCACTCCTCATACTCACTTGCTCTTTTTTTTCTTCAGGCAAAAGTGAATGATGACAGGAGTGACAAAGATGAAACAGATGACTCAGAAGAGGAGGAAGAAGAGGAGAAGATGAAAAATGGACCGCTGCAGAATGGTCACACGGTCCACAACAACAACCATAGCAAGACAGAGTGAAATCAAACAGGTGCTAGGACTGAGGAATGTGAGGACTGATATTCCTGAGCAGGGGAGTAGGAGGGAGGGATGAATAGTGAGACAAAGAAGGGATGTGGGTAAAGGAGTTGGTGAGTCATCTCCTAAAACACAGAACGACAGGTATGTGTCTGTGGAGATTCTCAGTCATCCAAAGTGAAGTGCTAAAGTTGTCAACTGGACTAATGACTCCACAGAGATTAAATAGCTGGGACTACCCGCCAGTCTGTCAGAACTGAACAAGCTTCTCAGATGAGAGGTGAAATATCTTCACAAACCTCAAGCAAGTCCATTTGATATCTCCAGTACTTTGGCTACAACAGCAGGTATCCTGAGGAAGGGTGACACTGTTACTTTTCCACAACACAAAAAACACTCACACATGTTCATTTGTACTTTTAGAAGGCAGATGATATACACTACATTTGTCATCGGAGAACAATGTTTCACTGTGCAGGGTGAGTCCCAAACTTTCATTGAGACAAGGAGAAAATGGAGAGGACAGAGGAGCGGAGTGATGTTGCTTCTACTTTAGCTTTCTTGTTCTAACTGTGTGCCTTAGAGCCAGTGAACGGCTGTTAAAATGCCATTTTATAGCTTTCTGCTTTAATCTTGTGTTGCCGTATTGCATTTATTATTGTTTTCTACTATAAGATCAAGAGAGAGATGAAGTGAGTTTAATGAATGTGAGACAATAGGGCATTTATCTCCCTAATTTTATGTCTGTGCAACTACATAAGTGTTTGTTCAGCTATTGCAACCAGTTTTGCACAAAAATACAGTGTATCTTGTATCATATATCTGTAATAACTTGCAGTAGGACTGAGTGCCTCTGCTCTCCAGTGAGCCCTGTGCCATTCACAAAGTGGTTGGCCTTGTAAGGTTTAAGGAGTAAATTTGGTTTCAGTTTTTGTTGATAAATAGCATGAAAATCTTGCTTTCTTATCTTAATTTCATTTTGAATCAGCTGTGTACAATTCCCGCCGATGTCTCATGTGTAAAGGCTGCAGTTCTTAATTCCAGTATTACTCAGAAATGAGCGTTCAACAAAAACGCTGCAAGAGAAACCACAGCTTCCTGTTAGGTTTGACAGAACTGGATGCTTTTCTTTCTTATCTGGCTAAAGTAGTTGGATTCAGTTGAACCGCAGTGATGATGATGATGACAAAGTGATGACTCAGTAAGATCAATTTGGTTTGCTCTGTTGAAATGTGGCAGTTTTACTAAGGCTGAACGGGACTGATTAATCATTTCCACAATTTACAAGTATTGGCCAGATTTCTTATATCATTGCCAAGTAGCCTGGGTTATGTTGTGAAGAGGATGGTTTTAGTCCTGATTCTGTGTATGAATTGCATCTGTAGGTTCTTTGTTTTTTGGAAAAAAATCTGGTGTTTAGGAGTTCAGTGTTTCGGTTGTGAAAGAAATGAGAAATTCATGAACTAAGTGTTCCAAGTTTGGTGTTATGCTTTAACGTTTTATGTATGTCAAGTGCCTTATCTGTAGTTTTTGGGAAGCTCTCGCTTCTGTCTTCATGTCCTCTCCTTTTCCTTCCTGTTTACATCTCACATCACAGATTCAGTTATAAGGTTAAACACTCCTCCTCCTCAATGTCTCATTCATCACTCATTTTCCACGTCCTCGTAATAAACGATCCTCCATTCAAACTCACGCTCATTCCACCACCATGTTCGTTTTTTACTAACCCAGACCAACCAGCAACCTCTCTACCCAGGTGATACCGAAGAAACAGATGTGTCCTAATTACAGTGTTATTTTTTAATTTTGTATTTTTACTTTAATGATACCTAAGTATTGTTATTAATAATAAAAGCAAAGTTCATGAATCACAATGACAACCTTGTGAAGTTGATTCCATTTCTTTATTCGGCACATCAGCGAGTCCCACATCATAAAAATTCAAACATGTTTTTAGAGATACAGAAGACACTGATGGAAAGCAGCTAAGTGTATTTGCTTATTATTTTATATATTATTTGCACCACTCCACTACATTTCAGAGGAAGATTGCACTTTTTACCCCACTACATTTATCAGCTGTAGTTATTTTGCTTGCATTTTTCATACAAAGATATGACCATCTTACAAGCTAAAAGAATTGTACATTTTTCCACTTCATTTGACAGCTGAAGTTACTAGTACTAATTCTACTAAAAATATGATTGCTATTAAAATATTAAGTAACATTACAAACACCCCAGTAAAGTAGTTAAAACAGTCTGCACTGATCATTTGCAACAGTTAACTTTTATATACTGAACATCAATTTGTTATTAAATATTATAGTCAAACATGTTGACAACGAAAATAATTATTGGTTACAGATGAAGTTCTGCTATGGTGGAATAATAATACCTTGCTTGAGGTTTTCTGTGTACTTATTAATCACAGAAAAATAAACATTTTACAACAAATGAGATAACAAATGGCTGGTTGAATGCAGTCTTGAGAAACTATGAATTCCTTGCTTTTATCTGAAAATAGAGTATTTCTACATTGGGATATTGGTAATTTTACTTAAGATAAAGAGCTCAGTAACTCATCCACCCGTGGCGAGATAATTCACTTCTGCGTCAGCTGTTGGAAGTATGCCAAATCTGGTATGGCTTAACTGTATGCATGCTGTTTGACATGGGATTCGGTCCAGTTTGTCTGACATTAAACCATCAAAGAGTCATAGCCTGTCATATTTGCATAACGTACCTCTGTCATGCCAGACTGAGGACTTTCGTTTAACCCAAAGACTAGATAGTTTAACCCTACAGTCCCGGAGATCCCTCCACTGCCAGCTAGGCGGAGCACAGCATGGATTTCCCAGCATCCGACGTCATTTGTGTCTGACTGGTGTGAGAGCCAATAGAAAGACTTGTGCTTGTTCGCTGCTGGTCAGAAACGCCATCTTAAGTAGAAAGAGGGTTTTAAACCGGGAGAAACAGGAAAAAGGCTTTAGATGAGTTACATTATTATTTTGCCTGTATTATGAATCGTCATAATTGCTCTGAGCCAGTATTAGTCATGGATTTTGGTGTTTATAACACAGAGTAAAGTCAACTTTGTGAGGAAATCGGCACTGGTTAGCCTCTAGCTAGCTAGGGGGAGGGGTGGGGGTTTTTGATATTTTTTCTGCCTGCAGTCGAAGTTGTTTGTTTATGTTATTCCACACGGATATGTCCTCTTCAAACCCAGGTAAAGTGCAATAAAAGTCACAGCGACAGTTTAACCGCATAGTACTCTTCAACTGTTAATCGACTTTGGGTGGTTTCTCTCGTAAAACCAATGCGGACACTTTCCTTACGTGACAGCATCAGCTAGCGAAGTTAGCTTAGGAGCAAAGCTAGCTGGCTATATCACAAGTGACTGCTTGCTAGCATGCTAGCCAGCTACAAGTGGCCAAGTTAGACTAGTGACTAACATTAGCTAACGTTAGATAATTATTAGAATGGCTGACTTTTAATATTTTTGCACTGCCGGCTAACTCTGTTTATATGTTTCTTTTTATATCTGAATGCTAAATATAGCTTTGGCGATAACTCAGTCGTGGTTGTCTTTGCTCTCTAGAATCGAAGCTAGTCACGAATAAAAAAAAGTTAAATGTGGCGCTTATTTAATCCGTTATATGTCAGTAGTAAAATGAATCTAGTTTCAGCTGTGTGACGTAATGCTAATTTAGCTTCTGATTGAGAGATCCAGAGTGGTTTTGTTTCTTTTTCAGTGCTCGAAGCACAGTGGGAAATCGGCTTTCATCTCTCTGCTACATTACGTCCCTTTGTGCTTCTGTGTTATTAATAGAGTTAGCAGATCCAGATCTGGGTATGGGGTCAAGTGGGACCCAAGCAAGTGGCGGGTCCGTTGTAGCGAAAGGGACCAACAAAAGACGAGCTGCGTAAGTGTGTGGTGATGGTGAATTATGTGGCGATATAACAGTGAGTTATGTATAGAGTGTTTACTATTGACAGTTGTGGTTAAATTTCCTGTGAGAATAACCTTGTGAAGCTTCTCATTTGTGTCTCTTCACTATATTATAGTTCAGACTTTGATGACGATGAAGGGAGCAAGTTGTTCAGGTATGGTTTTCTCAGTTTGTTCGTCCATAAAGGAAGGTGGGATGTATCTTCAAATGTTTGAATTGTCTGAGCTGCTGAGATAATAAGAAGTGTTTTCTCCATTTATCCTCAGGTGTGATGATGAAACAACAGGCTCCAACAATGACAAAGAGCGCTTTGCGAGGTATGAAGATGAATTAGGTGAAACAGATGTCTGTGTGTGGGCAGCGGAGCAATAATTTTGATACATTGGTTTTATAGCCCTCCCCTTTCTGAAGTGTTTTTTCCTACACTTTTTTTTTTATTTTGGTAGATTTTTGGGCCTGTGTTTTAGTGGGTTGGTTTCATTTCCAGGTTTTTGGATGAAGATCAGAGTTTTGCAGATAAGGAAAAACTAGCCAGGTATGACCTGTACCACTGTAGACGGCTCCTTCTCCTGCTTGTATCCATATCAACATTGAATGCACTGACTGAATACCGTCCTGTCTTGCCGGGATCCCAGCATATTGTTATTTTGACAGCACAAAGTTACTGGTCTATTTTGGTGCCTGTCAGAGTGTTATGCTTCTCTGCCCAAGGCATCTGGTTGTCTGTCTCAACCCACCAATGTGTTATCACTAACTAACGTCTGTACTGTGTGTGAGTCAGGGGCTTTCATTTGGTAATCCCTCCTCTTGAACAACTGTCCTCTATGTTTTTCTCTTCCCTCTCTCAGGACATGTCTTTCTCTTTCTGCACTTACTTTCTTTTATCACATCAGCTAGCCTTGAAAAGCTAGACTCTCTTGATTTATCACTATCATTTTGATAGACAATTTTCAGCATTTTATTGTCTTGTGCATCCAGTATTTGTGCCTTCTCATTCTCATTCTCTCCACCTCTTTTTCCTGATTGGCATATTGACATTGCAACTCTAAAAGCTACTCCATGTTGTCCATCTGTTTCCCTCATCTCAATCCTTCCTGTCCTCTCCACTTCTGTCTCCCTCCCTCTCTTCTTCACTCCAGGGAGAATCACAGTGAGATTGAGAGACGGAGGCGGAACAAGATGACTGCCTACATCACAGAACTGTCAGACATGGTGCCGACCTGCAGCGCACTAGCACGGAAACCAGACAAACTAACCATCCTACGGATGGCTGTGTCCCATATGAAGTCACTGAGAGGAAGTGGCAATACCAATGTAGATGGGTCGTACAAACCTTCCTTTCTAACTGACCAGGTATGTGCAACTTAGAAAAATGTCTACTTCTTTGTGTCAATAGTAGTGTCAAGGACCAAGATGCAAAGGGAATTAGGCATTTTAATGGCGAGAAAATGAGATTAATTTTTAAAAAAAGCTGTAATCTGCACTCCTTTATCAAAGACCATATGCCATTTGTCTGTAGGAGCTGAAGCACCTCATTCTGGAGGCAGCCGATGGCTTCCTGTTCGTGGTGTCATGTGAGACTGGTCGCATTGTTTATGTCTCTGACTCCGTGACACCTGTCCTCAACCACTCACAGTCTGAATGGCTTGGCTCTTCCCTTTATGATCAGCTCCATCCAGATGACACAGAAAAACTCAGGGAGCAACTCTCCACTGCAGAGAATAACAACACAGGTACACACACACACAAGGGATGTGCATTTCAAGCTAAAATGCTTTTTTATATTCTCTGGGAACTAGTCAATATTTTTATTTAGACTGACTTTTGAATATTTGAAAATCATTGTCCATCCCTAAAACACACACGTGCACCCTTGTAGCACACCCATGATGTACTCAATGCATTCTCTTGTTTTACTTTCAAGGGAGGATGTTGGACTTGAAGACAGGAACTGTGAAGAAGGAAAGCCAACAGTCATCAGCCAGAATGAATATGGGAGCCCGCCGATCATTCATCTGCAGAATGAGGTGACTTCTTTTATCTCTAATTGTCTAGTTTATTCTTTCACTATGTGTGTGAGGATGCATAAATTGTGCATGTGGTGACCCGTTTGTGTTTGCAGGTGTGGCTCGTGTCCAGTGGAACCGTTGTCGATGAACAGACTAAACTTCCTTAGAAATAGAAACAGGTGAACAAAACCAGATGATTTTGAATTAGATTTGTTAAAGTGTCTTGGAACTACCACACAGTGGCATACCTGGAGTAGCTCAGTAGCTAGTAGTAGTAGTTGTTTGATTTTTAGTGTAAATTTTTTTTTTCTTTTTTCACCTCAGGAATGGTTTGGGTGCAGCCAAAGAAGGGGAGCCCCAGTATGTGGTGGTACACTGTACAGGATACATCAAATCTTGGCCCCCTGCAGGTAAAATTATTTTATTTGATGATAGGCATTTATGGCCATCGGTTATAATTTCTTCATAATATGTCTAGGAATTGCAAAGGATGTTTTAATTTTTGTCTATACGATTATATGTTATAACAGTTTTTGCTTGTTTGTGTTTGTTTGTAGGAGTATCGCTGACAGATGACGAAGCAGACAACACTCAGGGGAGTCGCTACTGTCTAGTTGCCATTGGGAGATTACAGGTATAATGGATGTTATTTATGTAGATATATGCACTTGTGTATGTTGTGTTTCAGGTTACACTGAGAAAATAATTTGACTAAAATTGTGGCAGTTTAAACTTTGGTACTGATCTGTCACCAAACCTGCAATCATACAGCAGTTGTCAGTGTGACGATTCGCTGTGGCGACCCCTAAACGGGAAAAGCCAAAAGTGACTTTAGTCTAAAGCGAGATACAGCTCTTATTTGCACTCTAGGGTTGAAATATTTTTCTTTTGCCTGATTTGCTGAGCTGTACAACATTGATAGTACTAGAAATTCATTCTAGTGATTTGTCCATAATCTTATTTATGCACAGTGTGCCTGTAAAGAATCTAGCTTCTTTTTAGCCATTAAATATTTATGCTTGTGTGTCTTCTGCAGAGCTTTACATTTGCCCTAAAATTTGGGTTTTTACATTTGTTTTATCCTCTTCTTTAGGTGACATGTTGCCCAGGTGAAACAGACATCAACACTATCAGTGCTCCAGTGGAGTTCATCTCACGCCATAACTGCCAGGGTGTTTTCACCTTCATAGACCACCGCTGCATGACTGCCATCGGTTACCAGCCCCAGGTAAGTATCTCAGCTGGTTGAAATGTCAGGTCCAGACCCCATTCCCTTAGAGTCTTTCTGTTAAGGGTTGGTATTAATATCTTCTGGGCTAATGGTGGTTGAACTATCTGCTGTGTGTCACAGGATTTACTGGGGAAGGATATTTTTGAGTTTGCCCACCCTGAAGACCAGGGCTTACTGAGGGACAGCTTCCAGCAGGTAGGATTTTATAAATATGTACAGCTTTCTGAAGGCTCATTTATGCTTTGATTTGTATCACACATCAGTGTGTTTACATGCACTTAAGAGTACTTAAAGTTAGCACAGCAGTCCTGTATCATTGCTGCACTCAGAAAGGACAACTTAAAAAAGGGACCAAAGTCAATGCTACAGAACCAGAGTGATCTTTTTTTTTTTTTCTTTTTTTTTTCTTTCAACTGGTTTTCCATTCAAACCCTGACACCTACATTACCCACACTGCAACTCAATTCACACAACTGTATAGATTTAGGTGTGTTATGTTAGTCGTGGTTAATGCAGAGACGAGGAGCAAGCTACAGAGTTTCCATAATCTCACTGCTTCGTAAATCGCTACCATTATTTTCACACTTCAAACCCACTTGACACTGACAAGTAGCATCACTTGAGAACGTTTACTGTATCAAAGTTCATGTGATTTTCAAAGGGCAACAAAGAGTTTCCTTAAGAGTAACTTGGTGCCTCTTGGCTTCCTCCAGTAATCTGATGTCTAAAATATCGTGTATGTGAGAACCACATTCCTTATTCTAGGTGAGCTAATAGAACTTTACTTTTGAGATTTCACTTGAAACCTCATCTAGGTTATGTACATGTGTCCTTATAAGGTTCCTAATCTGCTGTTTGAATGTGCACTTGTCCATGAGAGAGATTTGAAAAGAGGAATGAAATGCTGTCACAGTAGTGCAGTATAATCAAGGAAAAGGTCACTGCATTTAGCAATCTACTCAGAATAACATAAGTCAGACTGAAACTAAGTATGTAGCCTCTAAGTTTAAATCAGATTTCACAACTGAACAGATTCATAAACATCGTGCTGTAAGGAAAAATCCTCTGCCACTACAGAGCCTATCTCTGCAGTCAGCTCTAAATGTGTTCAGATACCTGTGTAACTGGGTATGTCCCACTAGCCTTGTAAACCTACTGCTCATTGATTATGAAATGAAAACACCAGAATATGATGGCATAGCACGTTGGACTTGTGTCTTCAGGTGATGAAGTTGAAGGGCCAGGTTTTGTCAGTGATGTTTCGGTTCCGCTCCAAATCAAGAGAATGGCTTTGGATGAGAACCAGCTCCTTCACCTTCCAGAACCCGTTTTCAGAGGAGATCGAGTACATCATCTGTACCAATGTCAATGTCAAGTGAGTCGCATTTTGCTGGCTTTTTTTCTTAACCAATACCAGTGATTGCATAACATGATTACACAATCAAATACAGATCATAATGAAACCACTGACACTGAAACTGTTGGGGAAGAACCCCTCTGTATGAATGCTCAATCTCCAGTTTCTCTTACATTCTTATAAAAACCCTTTTTAATAAATAATAATACATTACTTGATCACTCTCTCCCATCACCTCTCCTCTACACCCATCTCTGATTGTGGGGCAGTAGAAACACGACTCAGGACCCTCTCACTCCCATGTCCTCCCCAGGGGGTTCACTGCCCCCCTCACTGGGGCAGAACAGCCCAAGCAACCTTCCTTTAGTGCTCAGTCCAGGGCAGGTGGCCACCAGGTGAGACCAGGCCTGATCTGATTGTTGTCCCCCTGCATGGGAGAACAGGGGCTGCTTCTTCGTGGGAGACTACTGCTGTTTCTAGCAAGCTACAGTCCTGGTTTTGTTGTCATTTCCCACTCTGAATGATTCTTCTCTCCATTGTATTTGACTCTTTTCCCCTGTAGTATTGGAAAAATAGTGCTGTCTCTAATAAGAAGCATGTCTTACAACAGTTTTCCTCTAGTTAATAGTAAAGAGATCAGCTTTTAACAGGTGGGTGTAGCATGTTAACAATATGTATTTGTATAACAGGTCTTTCTCTGCTGAAGCATATCACTCTCCTTCGGCTGTCCTTTCTCTTTTGTTGTCATGGTAACCGGTGGTGGGTTGAGTGCTATTTTGGTGTTTGGGATTTCTCACTCAGCGGTGGAATGCATGTAAATGGAAATGAGGCTATTTTAAACCAACTTAAAATAAACACCCCCTCTATTTTTCTGTTCCTTTTCCAGGCAGTTACAGCAGCAGCAGCAGGCCGAGCTGGAAGGAGGTGGAAACGGAGATGGTCTATATGAGGCAGGACCGATCACCCTCTCACAGGTTAGGCTGCACATGAGTGTGGGGACATGAATGCACTTGTTCAGGTTGACTGATAGAGTATGCCCTGTTTCTCTTGGGTCTCTTGTCTCTTGCTGTAGGGAATAATCAGGTCCTTTTTTATGGAAACAGTGAAAGGATGTTGATTATTTACCACTAGAAAAGCAGAACGGATGTCGGGAGACTTCCATTATCACATGACTGCCTGCTTTAATTATCTGGAGCATTTTCTCTGTAATACTCTATTTAAGATTTTAAGCCTGAATGTCTTTCTAAAATTATATTGTGTTTGCAAGTTCACAACTAAAAGTGCCACATTTAATCAAAATCCCTTATTTTGCTTTAAAGGTGCACAGTCATGCAGTCAACTAACTTTTGAAGTATTTGCATACAGTATTTGTAAAACGGTGAAAACCTAAAGGAAAAACACAACAAATTCAATACTTGAGATTATAAATTTGAAAAAAAAGTTAATAGTTGAACCAAAGGTGTAAAATGAATTTAGTAGCAAGGAAACAAATTCACAAAACTGTGGTTACATTGTCCCTTGTGCCAGTATCACCTGTGGCAGAACAATATTGTACTTCCTCCTAGGAAGTACCACACAGTAATAAATCTAGTATACACAGAATCCCCTTTTGCTAGAGCAAAATGCACAAGTTATCTTGAATGTTGTATTAACAGCACAATAGCCTCAGACAGATAGTTAATTGATGCATTTGTCAGAGTACAATGAGCATCACTACTCACTCACGGCTGTGTTGAATCTGAGGTACAGAACAGTTAGCTTGAGGCAGGTAGCAGTGCTAGTTAGCAGCTACCTTCAGAGCACATTAGCTAATAACATCACCCGATCCAAGTCGATAACTAAAGCTATTTCATTTGCAAGGACAGGTGTTGTAAATACAGGATTGATGATACTGACTCTGTCACAATAGTTCAATATTTTCTGGTGATTTGTTGAGTTTTTCATGTTTTTGTCTGTACTTTTTCAGTATACTTCTTGTGTTGAAGTGTTCTGTTGTGTCTTCTATTATTGTAGCCTCCATCCGTCATGAAAATAATTATATTAACAGACAATCTGCAGAAACTGTATTGGCATATGATAGTGGTGCCATGTTTGACAGCCTCAGTAACCACACCAAGTTTACCGGAGCCTTAATGAGTTGCTAATTTCACTTTTCGGTGGAGATGATGAATATTTACAATTTGAATCAATTGTTCACACTTCAACACATTAAGAGCTCTGGAGTGTGATTGCTGATGGATCATTTTGGTGGTCCTTTAGATGCCAGTGCAGACAGTGACTGCGGCAGGGCCCGACCTCAGTAAGAACCTGGAGAAGCCAGAACTCTACCCCTCCCTTTTCCAAGGTCCAGATCAGACCAAAGGCATGCCCTCCACCTCCACACCTCCCTCTACACAGATCTACCCTCCACCCACCAACTTCACTGCTGGTCGTTCCAGTGATGCATACAGGTAGGAAGGTTTCTGAATATATGTGTACGTGCTCCTCTTTATACTATATACACCAGATTTTAAACCTACTGAATATTGTGACTGGCACATGGAAACACATTGAGATTTATTAAGAGCTATAGATACTATAACTCTGTCTCGTCTCTTATACAAAAATATGACAGCACAGAAACAAGCATTTCTAGGTACTGTACTTCATCCTGTTATCTTGAGATCTGACTTAATTATTTTATGTTGTGCAGTGATCCCCAACTGCAGTCAGTGTACTTAAGTTGAAATCTGGTATTGCCTACTGTAAACTATAAGAACAGCCTCAGTGACACTTGTGTAAGTAAGAACTAATAAATGTACATCTTTATGTAACATAACATCAGTTTTGCATATCTGGGGGATTTGCCAACCTGAGCAGAGATGGCACGGCCACTTTTTTGTATGATATTGGCTTGTGTGAATCTAGCACAGTACATAGTTCACATGGAGGGTAAAGTAGAACAAAGGCTTGGCACGTGTGTGTGCACATGCTGCCCTTATTATGATCCCATCAGGATGTTTTCCTGAAAGCATGAACAGTATGTTTCAAGTAGATCACAACTGAACTGAATTTAAATAGTTTGCTGCTGATTCATAGTGATCTTTTCTGTGTAAGAAGTGTTTGTGTCAGTTCTTGACGTGCTGGACAATGGGATCAGTTTGTATTTTCTACCTGTAGATAACAACCAGGTAACAGCTTTCTGTCTTCACTCTGCTCTGTAGGCCAGTCAGCATGCCTCCACAGATGGCACAGCCAGCCAACTCAGCAGGGCAAATACTGGCTCAGATGTCCCGTCAGAATGGAGCCCCTCAGTCTGTTACCCCCTCCAGCACTGGCAGCTCCCTTCATGGGGGACCAGCAGGAGGATGGCCTGGAGCAGGAGCTGGAGCTGGAGCCAGACCACAGTTTAATAACCAGGTAGGCAGTGTTCATGGTCTGATTCTGCTTAACTTTCTTGGTGTTTTAAGTCCACCATCCTTTTCAGAGGAAAATAATAGGGAGTACTTGATATGATATGATATTTTATGTTTATTCCAGTTACTGATCACACTGTCAGTGAATTGAGTTAATCTTCATATTCTTACCGGCAGGTGCCTCCCCACGCAGCAAAGACCATGTCTCCACCATTTACTTCCATGGGAGGATTTGGAGGGAGCTCTTCCAACTCTTTTGGCCAGATGCCAACCGGTGCTGCTCCCGCCCCCACCAGCAGTGCAAATTACTCACAGATTAATGCTCGTGCCAACCTTAACACCAATGGCTACGGTAAGTTGTGTATATGTTTGTGAGGATATGTGTATCTGCATTATAGAGGTGTCTTCTTACCTCTGTTCTCCATCCCAGATGGCTCTCGTTCTGGGGTGCAGTTCCTCCCTCGAGCAGCGGAGGCAGCGTGGCCCCAGTGGCAAGGCCAGCAACACTCGCAGAGTAATGTAGAGCAGCATCCTCATGCTCAGGGCAACCAGCAAGACATGTTCCCTGTGAGTGATACAAGCTTAATCTCTTTCGAGCATCAGCAGCAACTATTTTAGCTACATTCTTCTGCTTTTGTCTTTCATTTAAAATGAATCTCTTTTGTCTCATCTAATTCAGGATGTGTTGTCCATGCTGGACCAGCCTGCCAGCTTCAACAGTGATGACTTTGAGATTCCTATGTACCCTTCGTTTAACGAGTGACCTGGTCAATAATTCTTCGCTGATCTACCCCTTTGTCTTCTCAACTGTTTCTGCCGTCACTCTTCCATATATTTAGCTCTTCTGCTCCTGAGAGTAGCACTCTACCCTTGCTTTGCATGGCTTAGATTGCACAGCCACAAGCCAGTTAAAGACGGAGGTATACATTTCAGTGTTTCATTTTTTAAAATTAAATATGGTCATGCTGTTGTGCTGTCCATCTGACCTGTCCCTTCTGCACTAGCTCTCCTACAGCAGCAGCAGCATGTTGGCTGCTGCCCTCCTCCTACATCTCTCTCTTCCTGACCCTCTCTTGCTGCTTCAGCAGCTCTGGTTGAAATCAACAGATATTCGAAATGAATCAAATTGATCACTAATTATACTGATTTGACTGATCAATCAAATTGATCACTAATTATACTGATTGGACTGATCAGCTTTCTCATGTGTATTTTTTGATATTCCCTTGAACTGAGGGGGCAAACATTTAGTGTCAGATTTTATGAACTAGTGTTAACTTTAGCCACTTGCACGGCAGCCCATATACATCCATGCTATATACAGTGAGCTGACCTTGGAAACAGCTGTATTCTAACGTTAGTTTGTTAGTTTAGCTAGCCTTACTAGCCTGCTAATAACATATTAGAAGAGTTGGCTCTCCATGATTGGCAGCGTTGTGTTAAAAGAAACAACAACAAACATGGGGAGGAGGAGCGCTTCACAGACAGTCTGTCATCATGGTTGTCATGTGTTTGTGTGAAAGAGAAACAGAGTAGGGCATGGAGGGAGTGAGAGAATACATGGGTTATGCCCAGCACTGAAATAAGATTTAATCTATTTTAAATCACTGTGTGATGGTCAGTGTTGATATTGTGGTGGCCTGCCACAAATAAATCGGCATATGGGAAACACTGCATTTGACTGCAAATGTATAGGACAGGAAATGGAAGTGTTTGCCAATTAACATGATTCCAGCCATTGTAACAGAAATTTCTAGCCTAGCACTGCCCAAAGCTCAACAACCTATGTTGTAGATATGTGTTATATATAAATATATAAAATTGCACAATCACACAACCACACTTGAATAGACTGCACAAAAACACTTTTACACTCTGGTAAATAAATGCACACACAAAGGCCTTTTATTCTAAGATGTTCCTGTTTTTTTTTTTTCCTCAGGCATTGATAACGAGCATATTTTGCTGTTCTACCCCTTAGCATGTGTGTCAAACACCTGATCATTGATTTAAACTCTCAGGAAATTGCAGGGATATACAGCTTTGGTGACTTTTTTTTTTTTCCTTTTTCTGAGCTTTTGCACGCAAACCACCACTGTCTGCTAACCTCACTCAGTTTTCAGCATGTCAGCACTGCTTTCATGGAGCGCTTCTACAATGTATAGATTTATACGGAGTACCGTGTTTTATTTTTGTTTTTTTGTACAATGGTGGCTTCACCTATAAATTTTAATTACCTTTTCTTTTTAAGGAACATAAAGTTTTTCCATCAGTGAATGATGTACTTTAATGACACGGTGTTACAGTAGATACATACTGTTTGTTTAGGTGCCCATTGGAAATGTATGCAATCTATTTTTCTTTGCCTACATATACATATAAAGAGAATGCATGCATGTATGGATGTGAACAGCATCATAATCGACATTAACACAGTTTCAGGGTTTCTGACTTGCTTGATTTACTTCTGTCACCCAGTACTAAGTATGACCTTTTTGTACTCCTTTTGTAAAAGAAATATTAAAAAAGAATTCATGCAGCAATAATTAACAAACAGGAGATGTGTACTTTTAAAGCCATTCTTCATTGTTATAAATGTGTTTCTTGGTGTTGAATTGGAGAGATATGGTAGTAATGTTTGATTGAATAGAAATGTTTTAAACTATTTTAAAACTTTTGATGATCTCTTGACTTCTTGCTTGCCCCTTTTGTAATTGGTGTGTTGCTAATGGTTTGATCAGGGTATTCAGGGTCAGAATAGAATAAACAGCTAAAACAATGATCTACAAGTGAAAATGTCAGGTTTTTTCCCCCAGTGTTTTTGCTTTTGTTTGTGAGAAACCATGGGCCTGGGACTGATTCTTTGTGAGCACGATCCAACTGTCTGTGTTTTACAATCAGTTTTAATGTTTGTGCCCTAGAGGATTGTTGCTGGAGGAAAGGCTATGCTTCTAAAATATTTAAATTTTCTTTCCATTGATGAAAACTTTGGTCACTCAATGAAACACAACTGTATAAATATACTGTATATGAAATGTTAAATGAAAGAAATATTTGTTTTTGTATTAAATTGTTATATTGTCAAAAACTAAGGTGTTTGTATTTTGATCTGCATACATCTCTCATTAGCTACACACACCTCTCGCAGCAGGTTTAGTCACTAGACTTTGCGATGAGCAGTAATAGTGAAGTCTTGTTCATGGGAGGTGTCTGACAGTGAGCTCTGACAGGCTGGTTTTAGTTGTATGTATGCATGTATTCACTGTCCTCACCCAGTTTCATGTTCTTATCCGGTGAAGAAAAGCCAACTTTGAGTTCGGCCTGTATCTGTTTTCTTTCCCCATTCTGTGTTTCAGTGAAGATGGAAAGAAGAGATCTGTGGGTATCTAACAGGATCAGTTTCTGCCTTCGTCCTTCCCTCCTCTCTTTCACAGCTTGGGGGTGAAAATGAATGGAATTAATGCCAGTACTGGTCCAGGATAGGTTTACTGTGTCAGCTGTTTGGGTCGTACCTGAGTGACATCTTGTCCTGCAAATGTTCTGCCAATATCATTTTAACACATATAGACTTTTCTCAACTATATTTGCATAGTCACTTTACCCTTGTGTTTCTCTAGTGGCATCAGAACACAATCAGCATTTTTTTTTTTTTTTTGGGATCAGTTTCCATCTCCTCTTAAGTGGATTACCCTAAGGTATCATATCCTCTTTCTTTTTCTCAACCTTTCCTTTTGTCCACCTTGAGCATGCTTCTTTTACCACTTTTGGGCCATTACATAATCAAAACCTTGTGTACACGGTAGGTGTAGAGTGAACACATTTGCATTATAAATTTCAAAAATTTGTATATAGCCACATCTTTGTGGCATGTTATGTATTAATGCTTTGTACTGTCCTGGGTTCCTGTGGCTCCTCTGAAGGTGTCATCTTCTGCAAAGGTCTTCTCTCCTGAATAGATGAGAGATGCCTGGTTGTTTGAATCTCAGGAACAGCATGGTTGTTACCAAACTCTACATCAACTATTCATGTAGGATACCAGTGCCAAATGGGGTTCCGTGTGTCCACAGATCCAACTCTGGAGGACAGTAGACATAAATGCTGGGAGGAAAAGACAGACAAAGTGGAACTGATTGTTGAATGTGGACACAAACTGCAGAAGCATGATGAATTCTCTGTGAGCATCAACAAAGGAACTCGGAGGACTCATTCAGATAAAGATTTTGGAATAAACATATCTGGAACTGCTATTAAGAGATAAGTAAAGAGATGAGACAACTAAGGAATAGATGAAATCTTTCCTTGGATTTTGTGCATTGTCAACTTGAACCTTCCAAATCTCCCTGTGTCCAGGCTGGATATGGATGTAGATCTTGGTTTTGCCCTCTTCTTCTTCTTCCTCCTCTGCTTCTTCTTGTTGGTGACCATAGTCCGCTGTGCTCAAATGGTATTGGACCCCTACAATGTTACCTATGTTGCTACACAGGAGGAGGAACAAATAGAGGACTGATGGCGACCAGAAACCCACATGTTACTGAAGAAAACGATGCCTTCTTCTCATATTGCAGAGATTCAGGGTCAGGGAGTTGTTTCTGACCCTGTTTTCATTGGTCTATATCTTCTACCAACTGAAACTTTGTACAAAAAGCCATCTACCAGCAGTATCCATCAGCTTCACACTGTGTAAGTATGCAAAATAAATCTACTTAAATTTTTTATGTACTTAAATATACTTAAATCTTTTATGTTACCTGTGCTTGAGACTGAGTTGGTAAAGTCCTCAGACAGATAGCATGTAAGTCTTTGAACTCACTATAATGGTGTTAAACATATTTGTTTAAAATTACTTGACTGTGTTTTCTATGTGTGCTATGTGGTAAGTGCTGAAGCATCAGCATGTGTTGCACCAGAAGATAATTTATTTAGGCAATTTGGCAACTGTCATATCAAGGCACGTATAATATTCACAATTTTTTAAACCTAGAGATTTGTAGAATTAATGTTTACATCCAACTAGGCCTGCACCCATATTTTGAAATAGTAATATATACAATAGGCTGTGTATAAATGCTGATATATGTGTTGTGAACCACTGAACACTGTCCCTGGCCTGTGCTTTTAAACAGCCATTTACAATTACAGTGCCTTCCAAAAAATATCATTTGGATTCTTCTAAGGGGATGGCAGGCACCTACAACCAGAGATCACAATAAAAAGGCTATGAGGCATCTAGCTCCATTTGGTTTGTATCATGCCAAGGCAAAAAACAGCTGAGAACCACAGGGCAGAAAGGCTGAGCTGGCTCATGCATGGAGACAGATCTGTTCCTTCGGGGCAAAAATGTGTGTTGTACAAAGGCAAATGCCCCTGCTTCCACGTTAATAGGGTACAGATGTTTCAAAGCTCTCTATGATTGAACTATAATACAAAGCAGATATTTTGTTCTTTTCCCCCAAATTCTATCACGCTATGTTTTGGAGAAATTGCACACATTTTCGTGCAATATTCTCATTAATGGGCATATTAAATAAGCATTGCAACTTGTAGCATGTGTGAGTTCATCAGTGGTGGGTCTTTTGATAGAGGCAGAATCATCATAGCATCTGCAGCAACAGAATCGAAAAAAAATAATAAAAGCGCCTGGAGATAGTTCCCCAAATAATTTTGTAAGGCAGGTTTTTGACACCATTAGAAATTAGTTAAATAAAATCCCCACTGTTGATCTTAATTAAGTTCATATGCTTGATTGAGTTAATGTATGCTAAATTACAGGGGTACGTTTTGTCATTAAGCTTTTGTTAAGTTAAGCGTTTTCTCGACCATTAACTCTTGCTTACATTATCGACACATGAGAAATTTTGGCGCCCTGTCCTGAATACCCACAGCACTATGGGTATTCAGCTTCACGTTTTAAACTTCCGGATACCCCGTGCGGGCGGTGATTTCGTCCTTCACACAACCTAATTGCACAACAAGCACCGCCCACTTCGGTTACACGGGCA